TCATGGGAGTCGTGGGAGTAATGGGAATGGTAGGAGTCATATGAGTGGTGGGAGTCATATGAGTGGTGAGAGTCATGGGGGTGGTGGGAGTCATGGGAGTGGTGAAGTCATGGGGAGGGGTGGGAGTCATGGGGAGAGGTGAGAGTCATGTGAGGGGTGAGAGTCATGGTGGTGAGAGTCATGTGAGTGGTGAGAGTCATGGGAGGGGTAAGAGTCATGTGAGTGGTGAGAGTCATGGGGGTTGAGAGTCATGGGAGGGGTGAGAGTCATAGGAGGGGTGAGAGTCATGGGAGTGGTGAGAGTCATGAGAGGGGTGAGAGTCAAGGGGGGTGAGGGTCATGGGGGGTGGGAGTCTTGGGAGAGGTGAGAGTCATGGGGAGGGGTGGGAGTCATGGGCGGGGTGAGAGTCATGGGAGTGGTGGGAGTCATGGGAGTGGTGGGAGTCATGGGAGGGGTGGAAGTCATGGGAGGGGTGGGAGTCATGGGCGTGGTGGGAGTCATGGGAGGGGTGGATGTCATGTGAGGGGTGGAAGTCATGGGAGGGGTGGAAGTCATGGGAGGGGTGAGAGTCATGGGAGGGTGGGAGACATGGGAGGGGTGAGAGTCATGGGAGGGTGGGAGACATGGGAGGGGTGAGAGTCATGGGAGGGGTGAGAGTGATGGGGGTGGAAGTCATGTTAGGGGTGGGAATCTTAGGAGGGGTGGGAGTCTTAGTAGGGGTGGAAGTCTTAGGAAGGGTGGAGTCTTAGGAGGGGTGGGGGTCTTAGGAGGGGTGGGCGTCATGGGAGGGGTGGGAGTCATGGGAATATTGTGAGTCATGGTAGTGGTGGTAGTCATGTGAGTTGTGGGAGTCATAGGAGGGGTGGGAGTCATGGGAGTTGTGGGATTCATGGGAGTTGTGGGAATCATGAGAGTGGTGGGAGTCATATGAGTGATGGGAGTCATGGGAGTGGTTGGAGTCATGTGAGTGGTGGGAGTCATGGGAGTGGTGTGAGTCATGGGAGTGGTGGGAGTCATGGGAGTGGTGAGAGTGATGGGGGTGGAAGTCATGGGAGGGGTGGGAGTCTTAGGAGGGGTGGGAGTCTAGGAGATGTGGGAGTCTAAAGAGGGGTGGAGTCTTAGGAGGGGTGGGGGTCTTAGGAGGGGTGGGTGTCATCGGAGGGGTGGGAGTCATTGTAGTGGTGGTAGTCATGGGAGTTGTGGGAGTCACAGGAGGGGTGGGAGTCATAGGAGTCATGGGAGTCATGCTAGTTGTGGGAGTCATGAGAGTGGTGGGAGTCATATGAGTGGTGGGAGTCATGGGAGTGGTTGGAGTCATGTGAGTGGTGGGAGTCATGGGAGTGGTGGGAGTCATGGGAGTGGTGGGAGTCATGGGAGTAACTGAAGTCGCGAGAGTCCTGGAACGCAGACGATGTGGTTTTAGTTTCAAGTACGCAAGGCACCAAAAATCGGAGTTTCTTACTTTTCATTTGAAAATGTCTAAGGTTTTTGAAAATCCTGGTCGAAGGGCACCAAAATCGGACCTCCCCCTTATGTAGCACAGGTTCGTCTTTAGGTTTGCTACAGGAGGAGTCGATTGGAAGATTATAGACGAGGAGAAAGATGGTCGTGTCGATAGTGGTGATGATGATGATGATGTCTTGCTAGCTGCATGCTTCTCACGTGACTCTGATGCTTGTATACAAAATGTCTGGAAACAACAGTTCTCGTCTATACTGTCTTTATTGTGATACTTCAACTATGTCAAAAATACATCAATGATATTCTGAATAACGCTGTGTTCTCTCTTTATGGTTAAATACTCGTAGGTTCGCGTTGTGTTCTTTATCTCTAGTTACTTTGTTAACTGGTTCTAGTGTCTGTAACTGCCACCTGGCTTCTAGTGCTGTTTGGTACTAACGGCTTGATCGTCGACTCTAACATCTCTATAGTGTTCTTAATGTGTCTCTGTTAACCATGGATTCAGGTATCTTGTGTGTTGTGTTTGTGGCTCGATGTCTTTTTTAATGTCTGCTCTCTAGTGACTGTCTTCGAGGTTCAATATGAACGGCTGATCTTCTTCCAGTGTTGAGCTGGCATCGAGGATCATTGAGATTAGTCGCTCGTCCTCTGAGTCTCAAAGACTGAAGGCTTCTAGTGTAGGACTAACATCTCTACCACTGAAGGCTACCTTGAGAGTAAATGTGACTGGCCTCTCCTTTCTTGATTCTTGTGGACTGAAGAATTGCTCTGGGGTGCTTTGTTACTCGTTATTTATACTTCGATGCTGGAATGCTTGGTATTTGTTTTCTTCGGCTTCTAGAATATTCTAATACATCTCCACTTGTTTACTAGGTACGTTCTCACGTGGGATTTTCTAAAAGTATCTAAAGTGCATCGGATTTCATCATCGTATTCTACGCAGATATAGTAGTTAAATTGACAATTGAGGTCATATAAGCTTCTAGAAAAACAAGTATAATTGCGTTTGCTTTGGTAGGACACGACAACAAGGTATTTACTAGTACGACAAGGTTGGGTCACATGATGAAAAGAATGCATTTCAAAACTTCTAGAAAGAAGGCCAAGGCCAGACAATGACGTCAAATGCTATTTATAGATTATTCATTTGCGAAACATTTCTCTGTTAATAACAAACGAAGTTTCTAGAAAAGAATGTCAAGGTTGCCAAAACTTGTTGATTTCCTTATATCCTAGCTTTGTATTTTCGAACAAACAAGTTATGTAACTCTATTACAGTATTTTGTAAGAATAACTCTGAAACCCTTATAGATGTTTGCCGTGTTAATGTTATGGTGGGGCTGGGAGTGACCAGGAGATGTGGCCGACACTCTACACTCACTCACGGGAATCTCAAGAGTGACAGATAATGCTCAACACTAAGAGGATGCGCAATATTGCCGTACAAACAAACTGCAAATTGCACCATCGTGATTGAAATTACGCTACCTGCTGAAGAGGAGGATCAAGCGCATATGGGAATTTCCTGATTGCTGTGATGTCTGTTTTTGGCATAACACAACGTTTGCAAAGACACCATCTGGGTTTTGAGTTCATCTTTTAGAAGGTCAAAGTTCAGTATCGATCTATTCTGTCTTAGACTATTGTTTGTGTATCGCAGAATCGTGTCTTCCGAAGGATATTCATATTGCAAGTCACCGACTCCTGACGGTCATCAAAGGTTAACCAGACGAGCAAATATTGCTTTTTATTGTCTAATTAAAAGTCTGTTTATTTTAGCTGTCGGTAATACTACATAGAAGTCGCGGTGGTGTAGCAGCTAGGAGCTCATGTAAGTATCTGAAGGTCATGGGTTGCAATTCGTAAAGAGCCGGACTTTTTAAAAAAAAAACTGCTTTGGTTCCCATGTTAACCCAGCCTTAAACGGTTGCCAGGTTAAAGTCCGGGGAAGTAAAGGCGGTCAATATGATGTTGACCACGTTAGCCACCGAGTGCCGATTAGTTCTTAATGTAAAGGCCTAGTGCTATAGACACAATGGGGGCCTCCGGGGTGTAGCGGCTAAATGCTCGTCTGTGAATCGGAAAGTCGTCGGTTCCGGTCCTGAGAACGACCTTGGCTCCTATGTTGACCCAGTCTTAAATGGGTAATTGTTACAGTCCTTTGAAGTAAAGTCGGTCAGTATGATGTTTACCAAATCACCCACCGAGCACCGATTGGACTACAAAATATAGGTCTAGCAGTATGTGCCCAAAACACATAAAGGCGTGTAAAAGGGCCCTTTACAATATACCCAATACGCCTGAAGGCGTGTAAAAGGGCCCTTTACTATATACCCAATATGCCTGAACGTGTGCAAAGGGCTCTTTTTACTAACACAACCTTGGAAATGGCGATGTCGTAGGGGCTTTGGAAGCTTGTGTGTAGGCCCTATGATAACGATCCTGAATGATGCATTTCTTTTATTTTATTTTTTTTACAAAATGACCCGGACTCCTACACAGATCCCCAGTGAAATAAGTACCACGGAAAGTTAGCGAGAGTAAAATCAGCCAGTGTGGTAAAAGCAACATCATCTGCCGAATATCGATTTTTCTAAAACAGTATTTGGGCTATCACTGAATGGCCGATGTACCACTGGAACGTGTGTCATCAAAATAATTCTTACTTTACATCATGTTACTTCACACCACTATACTGTACATTAATCTACTGATCATTACTAAACTTTACTGAACCTTACTTTACTATAAAAAAAAACGCTGACATTTGGATGCCTATCAGCTATATTAGCTAGAAAACTGATATGCAATACAATTTTGTTAGCGCATACATGCAATAACTAAATGTTATAAGCCAGACAAATAGATTCTGTACTAACTAGAAACGAAGGATATACAACTGGTTATTGTAGACCCCCCCCCCCCCCTTCCCACACACACACATACACAAACCCCCCCCCCCCCCCCCCCCCCCCCCCGTAATCTGCTCTGTTGTTTAAAATAAAAATACTTCCATCTGGCACAGAGTTGTCCATTTCCCAAGAGAGCATCGATGTTGTCCATACGGCTTTAGTGTACCGAATACACCGTTGCCAGACGAGAGGAAGAGTGCTGGTCACATAACCTCCTGATGCAGTTTTCAAATTGGCTGAAGGTTCATGTTATGTGGTGTTGATCCAAGAACCGCTGGTTGAGTGACCAGAAGTTGTGAAACCACGAATGAGGTCATAATAGAAAGCTTTGTCACAGACCATATTCTAAATTATACACAAAAAAGACATCACATAAAATTGTTAGACAACTTAGAGAGAATAGCTTGTGACGTCATGCGTACAAGACAAATACGACAAGAGAAGAAGGACAAGGTACAGGGTAAACCAAGAACAATATGGAAAGATAACATCAGAAATACTCTACAACAGCACGATGTGTCTCTGGTATAAGCGGCTAGAAAAGGAAGAAGCAGAACTTTTTATCTTTCTTTATCGACATCTAAAGTGGTCAAAAGAGGAAGTGAAGAAGAAGCAGAAGAAGATCTTACTATTTTTTTTTTCTACAACCTTATGTCCCTTGTACTGACAAAACACACACATGCACACACACACACGCACATGCACACATGCACACACTCAAATAAAGTAGAGAAGATCGATTTCATTGCATTGGATTGTATCCCAGATGGCTCTTTCTCTCTCTCTCTGTCTCTTTTTCTCTCTCTATCTATCTATCTATCTAATCTATCTATCTGCCTATCTATCTATCTATCTATCTATCTATCTATCTATCTATCTATCTATCTATCTATCTATCTATCTATCTATCTATCTATCTATCTATCTATCTATCTATCTATCTATCTATCTATCTATCTATCTATCTATCTATCTATCTATCTATCTATCTATCTATCTATCTATCTATCTATCTATCTATCTATCTATCTATCTATCTATCTATCTATCTATCTATCTATCTATCTATCTATCTATCTATCTATCTATCTATCTATCTATCTATCTATCTATCTATCTATCTATCTATCTATCTATCTATCTATCTATCTATCTATCTATCTATCTATCTATCTATCTATCTATCTATCTATCTATCTATCTATCTATCTATCTTTCTCTCTCTCTCTCTCTCTCTCTCTATCTCTCTCTCTCTCTCTATCT